TGTGTCTTCTTGGTGTCTTCATACTCCTCCAACATCAGCTTTTGGGGATAAATTACTCACAAACCCCACAGCACATCGTTACTGAGTCCATCCTGCTGTTGAGCTCTCTGAGCCCTCTGTTAAAGTCCAGTGACCAAGCATGGGCCGTAGATCCATGGGCTGACATATCCACCACTGTCTTGTGCTGCTGTTTGTAGTGATGCAAAGTAGCTACGTGCCGTTACTGAGTCTGCTAGCTATTTTAAACTGATTTTTCACTGGCAAAATTACTGCTCATGAAGCAAAGGAACGACAAAACTTTTGTCCCTGCAGCATTTTTCTGTATTTATTATCTTTAAACCTGTTGTTACCTTTCAACCTGCTCTAAACCCTGTCTCTTTTGTCCCTATCGGCTCCTGTGGGATATATCCGTGCTCAGAAGCAGGACACACAAGCAGCCAGACTTTATGAGCACTGTGCAGTCCATAAGACGGGTCACCGTAGGTCTGCTTACACCCATGCTTCTCCTGGGGTGGTAGAGTTCCGTAGGGCAGGGATGCAGGGGAACCTAGAGGAGAGGAGGGGGGTGGAGGGGAGACATCAAACCTCAGCAGGAGGCGAGTTTTGCTGATGGGAAGTGAGGCTGGGGTCTGCAGAGGTTGAAAGGCAGCTGGCCACCTGAGGTGCTGTGGGGTGTTTGCCTGTCCTACAGCTCCTGCTCCAGAAGAACATCCTCCTCGCAGGCTCCATGCCGTGTCTGCTGCAGGGACGTCTCTCATGTCTCGTTAACACGTATCATTAACTGAAGTGACAGGCTTTTTCCAGCCATTCTCGTGGGCAAACGCAGAGAATCGGCGTGCTTGCACCTACTGCTTCTCTTCTCTTACCTGAATTTGTGTGATCACGGCTTCCAGCTGTTACATGTTCAACGTTAAAGAGCTCCTTGCCAACAAAATAATTTCCATTTTCTTGTTTATAGACTATAATAAATGTGCTCTTTCATTTTCAATTTCATGAGCTAAATAGATTGGATTCTTAAGTCATTCCTTGTCCCATGTGTTGTCCAGACCTTCCATAATTGTCAGAGCTTTTCTGCATTTTGTCTCATTTTTCAAGTTGACTTCGACAGGTGGGCTTTCAGAGGAAGTCAGCAGTTCAGACGTTGCCTTTGTATTGGTAGCAATATCTCCGCCTGCACCCTGGTGCTCTGCCTATCTATGCTAAGATTCGTTTTGTCGATACAACCCGCTGTAGCTCATTCATTCAGCTATTTACCAGCGTTCCCAAGTGGCTACTGCTCTCCGAAACACCCCCTTCCATTAAGTCATCATCCATTCTTGGTTCCTTGGTTGATTCAGATACATGTAGTTCATCACATAATACAGATACCTTGGGAGAACAAGCTTGAATTCAGTGACTTTTTCTCTCAATTGACAGTTTCTCCAGGTTTGGATTTTCAGTTTCTCCATTTAATTGAAAGATAATGAATAATACTGGGCTGAAACAATTTGCTGTTTCACTCTGCTGCAGACAGCTTACCATGGCAGTTCTCAAAAGCTGCTGTGAATGGGAGTTACCAAGTACTCTTTTCTGATCCGTTTACAGTCACTAAATTGTCTGCTTCTAAAGCAGATTCTTCGTGGGAATGGTGCTCAGGGACAGGCGTGGGCGGCTGTTCATGCCACCTGGCCGGCTCCTGATGATGTCCTATCATCTGAGCATTATTCAACAGCCTCATGGGCATCAAAAAGTGTGATTTAGTTGTGTGCAGGGGCAGTTCCAGATGATGAGGTAGCCCCTAGAAACATTGGAGAAGGGAGGGGAAGGACCCTGTTCACCTTCCCAAAGGAAAGTGCACTTTTCCTTGAGCTAATGAACTGCAGGTTCAGTTTCCTGCTCCCATTGGAATTGTAGGAGCCACGTGAGAACTGTAACACTGGTTTCTCTGAGACTTGGCATCAGTCTGGGCTGACTTCTGAAAGGAATGCATCGTTTTAAAATGAGGTACACTTCTGTAGAAAAAGATAATCGAACCGGGGCAAAGCGTTCATGAGAATTAGATCGTTACAGAGAAAAGTGATGCAAATATGTAACTCCCACACCCATCGTGTTAGTACAGTTATGTTAGAACTCTAGTTTAATATTTCAGCAAAGACCCGTTTCAATCTTACCGCCTCCATGTATCTGACACAAGTACGGAAACCGCCACACATTCCCCAGGCCAACAGCAAATCCGATGCAGCTTAAAATATACTGGAACTTATTGTCCCACTTGGGTCTGTCATCTTCTTTAGGGATTTCAGGTGGCACTGATAAATCTTTTGACATTTTAATGCAATATCCTTTCCCTGTAAATGGGAAGATGCTTCAAATCCTGTCTCTCCTACAGGTTTTATGCGGGGTGACTGGAGGATCCTGGAAAGAGAGGTGGAGCTTGCTTTCCCTGTGATGCAAAGGAACGTGTCATTGCCAAAGCTGTGGTTTAAAGACAAAACCAGGAATTATTATTATATAGAGAGTTACCACTCCTGACTTCTTTTGCAGCTTGTGCTATAGTTAGAGAACTTGGGAATATGTGGTTAATGGGTACCTCAGGATCAAACAGCTTTTTATTTTCCTGTTCTCCTCCTGTTCTCAGATACTTTCAGAGGAGTGTGACGCTGAATATAATTAAAAAGAAACCTTTACAACAGACTTACTGAAATGGTAAAATAGTTGGGCAAATCTGTGAATAAGGTGTTCCTGTCTTAGTTTGTTAATGGAGGTAAATGAACGGCGGCATCTTTTTGCAAGTGCGAAAAGTAAATTTAGAGAAAAGCAAGAAAAATTGGACCGTGTATGTTCAGATGTTAGAATTTGGTCCATTTTCACCATAGCTGCTAGAGGTTACTTACTTCACACCTGTCAGTGTATCCCAAGGGACTATTTTTATTGTTCATTAAATAGTTACTGATGAATGCAAAAGCTAAATGCTGTCCTTCGATTGAAAGTGCGTGAGAAAGGTTTTCTGTGGTCTTTTGTAGAACCATGGAACGTTTTGGGTTGGAAGGGACCTTAAAGACCATCTAGTTCCAACCCCCCTGCCATGGGCAGGGACACCTTGCACTAGACCAGGTTGCTCAAAGCCTCATCCAGCCTGGCCTTGAAGACACCAGAGCTGTGGTGGTGTAAATCGGTTCACACCAAACACGTCAGCCAGCCAGCTTGCTTGCTTCAGTAAATCAATAGTCTATGCCTGCATTCCCCTTTTTGACATGGGAATCTAAGTAAAGACAGGTTTTTTTCCCCAAAAATGCTTAGGAAGAAATACAAGCCCTGCTCTGCAGCTAAGCATACGAACACCGTCAGCTGGCAGGTGATCCAACAGAAGCCAATTTCACACCTACGCTACACAAATGTCCCCAGGTAGGCACAGCTCATCTGCTCGCAGCCCTGCAAACACCCAGATCCATGGGTGGAGCAACTCAAGCCCCCAGTCCCGTACCAGGATGTCTCACAAGGGCACACAGTGTGGTTTGGCGGCCCTTACGCAGCATCAGTTCTGCCAGGGCTCCCACCACCATTGCCCCTTGGGGCTGGGAGATGCCCTTGTGCTGTGCTGGGGCCGTTCTAGCAACACACTCATTCCTGTGCCTGCCACCTGCAGCTGACCCCTTCAAACGCTGTTTTACTCATTCTTGGTGACTGAGCTTTTTCTCAGCTGGAAAATCGGACAGAAATTGGTTTTCCTGTTACAGAATGACAGCTTTAAATGGTTTAAATAATTACATTCAAATAATGTAAAAAAATTTTAATTTGGAATGCAAGTGAATTTAATAATTCAAATACACATACAATGCCTGGTACTTTACTCTCTCTTTAGAGCAGATATACTACTCTAAAGATACACTCTAGAGTATTTCGATACCTATTTAGCATATACCCTAAATATTCCTATTTCTTGTACGAGAGTGTTTTGATTATAAAGGAGTGCCAGGGTGTAAATTGGATCAATTCTTGTCCTAAACGGTGGGTGTGGGAAGAGCTGCAAAGTGATACAGATGTGTGGCTTACCTACAGGGACAGCGGGATGAAAATCACCACCCCCACGTACACTCCATGCTCCTGGCACTCAGCCTGGGTGCCCTAACGGTGCCGCTTTCCCTCTCCAGTGACCACCTAAGGGATGTGACTCCTGACTGAGCTCCTCTGGGTCACATGGGAGTTAGGAGCTTGAAATCGGCCTAAGGGAGGTACCTGCCTGCGTCCGTGCGTGTGCAAACCAGGGCTGCCCACCTCGACTGCGACAGATGGAGGGCGAGAAGCTTGGCACTGCTTGGGTGCCCCGTCGGCACGGACCTGCCAGGCGAGTGGCGCACCCCTTGCTCATGGGTGCCAGGGAAGGCAGATTTTGCCATTTCCAGAGCTGCTGCTGCTGCCTCGCTGCAAGATTTATCCTTCTGTCATCAGCAAAAGCAGCGCTCTCTGCTGGGAACGTGGAAGTAGTAGGCAATTAATAAAGTATCCAGAATTATAAATGAATCAAACTGTCATTGTCGTACTTAGAAATGGTTTTATTAAATATTTTAAACTTCCGCATGAGACAAATAATATCGGTGGCTTTGTGCAACACAGTGGCAAGTAAAGTAAAAACAATTTAACGTGCGAGAGAAGTCAGTATAAAGTTACCCTTCATATTGGCCACCCAACCGGAATGATTGCACGTGGAAGAGTCACTTAGAGCATGTCAAGCGCAGTGCATCCCTGGACAGAGAGCTGCAAGACAGTTTCAAATAAGCTGGCTTCAAACCCAGGAGGAGGACAGATGATTTGGCCTGGTGCCCCAATCACTTGCAAAGGTGGCTGTTTTGCTTCCAGGATCCAAGCCATTAACGCTTCACAGCGTATTGCACTGCTAAGTAAACAAATGTTTCCCTGGAAACTACACGTAGTTATCCTTTTATGAACTCTGGATTCTTTAAAAAGAAGTATTTTTACTTTTCTAACTAACAAAGCATCCTTCCACCTTTTTTAAAACGGTCCTATGCTGAATGCTTTAAGTTTCCGTTAACAGACGTCTCAGACGTGGAGCTCATAAGGCCCGTGCGATCACTTTTTTTCTGGCAGCAATTTCTGATGGCTTTGTAGATGGCAAAGGCAGGGATGGCCAAACTCGGCACTCCAGCGAGGATTACGATAATAGCATACACCCAACTGGGATATTCAACCTTCTGTGTTTTGGGGAAGTCCTCCTGAAAGAGCAAACAAGCCGGTTGGAGGAAGTTGCAAGGAGCAAATACCTGGGAACACGCACACACTCAATAATTCAGCAGATCAGAAATGCAATCAGAACAGTAGCCAGCCACCATGGCACAATAGCTCGCCAATTACACAGCGGTTTCCAGCTCGGGGGTTTCCAGTCTCGGTTTGGACCCACTTTTACTTAAAGGCGATGGAGAAGAGGGCGTGAAAGAAGCAAGAGCCAGGGAGGGAGACTGGTGGGGCTGCTCCTGGCACGCTTCCTGGGCACAAAGGAGCGTGGGGCTGGGGGAGCTCACAGGCCAGCTGGGCTTGGTAGCCAAAGAGCCTTTAGGTGGGAACTTCCAGAGGGCAAACAGCCGAGCTAGACAGGCAGGGAAGAGATGGGGGGATGGAGAAAATGATAGGACCCACATTTTTTTTCTAATACGGCTTTTTTCTGTACCACATGCAGCTTTTTATTCTGCAAGGGGAGGAAAGGAAAAATGTGTCACTTACTATTGCAATTATAATTTAAATCATACTTTTGGAAGAGGAAAGAAGAGATCGGGATATTAATTAACATTAATTTCTTCTGTCAGGAGTGAGTAACTAGCACTACTGCAGTTCTGGGATTTTAAATGCAAGCAGAAACAAGTGCAGCATGAAGGTGGCTTCACAGGTTTGGTCCTTTGTCAACGCAGAAAGCTTGTGACATTTCCAGCTCTTCTATAATCCCTGCTGGGGAACTGACATCTCTTTCAGTCTTGGACAACTGGGCTAATGTTTTGGGTTTGTCCACTTTGGAATAGCTACCCGGGTCTCAATGCCAGTTGCAGGCATCACAGCTGAATTTAGGACTTCTTTTTCTAAGTGTTACTTTTTCTTATTACTTCATATCTTGCTGTAAGTTTTTTCATCGGAAGACTGTTTTGGATGGGAGATGAATGTAAGTGGCTATGGCTCCTGCATCAAAGAAGAATACCTACAGTAATTCTAAGTAAATATTTTGGGTTTCGGTACTTACATAGCTGGGATCCCAAACGCTGTAGAGCAGTTCTTCATTGACTTTCACCACAAAATAAAAGAAGAAAATAACTAACATAATGAGAGGACTGATAACTCTCCAGGTAACCTGCCAGAAGATATTTGGCTTGTGTCCAATCATGAACTCAATATCCTTGTTAAACCTAGAAACAAAAACAGGAAGTCCAGGATAGTAAAAACTGGTCAGGATCAAAGGGTGCCTGCTGATAAACAGGGAAGTCCAAACTACACCTAGCTGTGCTTCCCAGGACTTGGCTAATGTCGGTGTGAAAGCAGGATTGATAACATCAGGAATTACAAGTTAACGCAGATATTGCTGCAACGATGTTAGAAGTTTTTAACTCATAGTTCTCAAAAGTAAGTCAGGAAAATTATTTTTGGAAGTGTACTTTCTCCAGGAAGTCTGTGAGGCATATGTTAAATAGTTTCCAAATGGAAGAGTCAATGTGGATGGCCTTTCCCTATAACACATTACAGTGTTGTTTCAGGATTCTCTTGGTAAGCATCCCCAAGCTGCGCAAATTAAAAGGAATGACACCATATTTAAAGAGAACAAATGGGAACAATTTAAAAAATTAGATTCTGTGCATAAGGTTTGGTTAATTTGGGTTTCTGCCAGTTTCCTCAGGTGGAATACTGAAACAATATTTTACTTTACACATTATTAAGAACACCTGAAAATGTGGTATTTGGGTTACTCATAGAGCATGTGGTGGAGAGTGGGGCAAAAATGTCTCCACAAGTAGAAACAACCCCTGCACTCATACTCATCAGTATCTTACAATGAACCATCTTACGACCTCTACGGATGATGCAGCACCATGTGCACACACTTCTTAAAAAGTAATTATTTTGGAAGTTTGGAGCTTCTTTATTTAGTCCTCACGTCTGGCTTTACTGCGTTTCCTATGGGAATAAGTCTGAGGGGGCTATACGGTTGGTCCTATAGCTATGAACAACGCACAGAATTCAGTTGAGTCTCACTTACTGCATAAATTTATTTTATCTTTTCATCCCTAAATTCTGAGATCTAGGTGTCATTCTTAAAATGATATGGTCCCCCACGTCCTCGCTGCAGAACACGTCCAGGTGTAGCGATTGAAGTCCCCATGCTTCTTTCATATTTCTTATGTATTAATTATGAATAGAAAGATGGAAAAATGTAATTTATTACATCTCCAGGAAGTCTATAGGCTAATTGCTCACTGCTGCAGCTGATAAAGTCCTGAATTTATCAGCCAAGAACGTATCTCGGTAGCCTTGGATTTGCACCCTGCTGTAAAACAGTATCTGCAGCCTGTCTGGAGATTCCTTGCTTTGGGCAGTATCACTTAGCGTTCACTTCTAACACTCCTGGGATGTACCCCTGTTTTAAACTTCCAGCTCAGTGCCAATGGGCTTGTACTTTGCTTCCGCTAATTAAGTATCTAATGCAATTATCCTGAAGAAGGTTTATTGCAAATGTGGCCATATTTTAAATGTAAATGAGCTATAGTGGCACTTATGTAACTGTTGCAAACACATACGTCCCGATGACTGCTTTAAAAAGAAATTATTTGCCCTTACCCTATTCTATGGCACTTGCTAAGGCTTAATATTTTCTTGCAATATCTTAGGGATGTGTTTATTTTTGCTGGTGGTTATAGAGCATTATATACTATAACATATTAATAAAGTGGGAACCTTTCATGTGCAAATGAAAAAACCCCCATGGCACGCTAAATAAAACATTTTTTCTTTATGTTGAGAGCTGTTTTAGAAAACTAAATCATATAAGCAACTCTAAACTACAGTTGCATAATTTCAGCAATTTCTAGAACAGAAATTCTGTGCGCTGAGACGTGGCAAGATTGCAGCTCTACAGATAATCAATTTATGCACTAGTTTCTAGTGATGTTTAACTTGTATTCCATACCTGTCTATTCCGTAAATGTAGACGACCGAAAACATCTCAAAAAATGCAATTATTAACAAGGGAATAGAGCCAGCAAAACTGTCGAATAGAGCCAGCCAGTAATTACCAGATTTCAGCACAAAAATAAAAGCTATCAAGTAAGACCCCACACAAATGAGACCTGTGGAAAAACCAAAACAACAACACATTTAGGCATCGAAATAAATAAATAAATAAATAAAAATAAGATATTTTCCCAGTAGCTAGAAAGCTTTATAAGTAACCTTTAGTTCAGTTGCAGCCTGAAGGTAACCACTTTATTTTTTAATGGTACTCTGAGAAGGCAAAACTCTCCTAACCTTGCACAGGTGGAAGATGCTGCAAACAGGACAAGAGAAGGCTGAGGAGAGAAAACAGGTCTTCCTCCTCCCAGCCAGTGGGACAGTAACAGAGGCATAGATTGGTTTTGGTTGGAAAAGACC